CTTTACGTCTCATCATCAAAGGGTTTTTTTATAGGTTTTTTTTTTTTTTTTTTTTTTTTTTTCTGATGATGATATGATTAATCTTTCATATAAGAGTAAGAAAATATTTGAGTTTGACAAATTCTCAATATTTGGGGTGCTTTCTGGTGCTCTAGTGTATTGGAACTAGTGGATGCAGCTGTCCCATCGCAACAGTTGGATCTCTATAAACAAACAATTCTACAAGTTGAAGGAGTGAAGGTAAGTCAACTCTAGAAAGCACTGCCCCTCCCCCCTGAACACACACACAGATACACATGGGTGTGCATAAACCCAGAAGAATAGAAGAGGCCAGATGGCTTCTATCTTTTGTTTATTGTTTAATTGTTGGCCTCTTTATTCTTGTTTTGGGCATGGGCATAGTCATTGTCATCGTCATGATGTCATTATGATTTATTAATTATGTTATCCAATGCTAAAAACCCATCTATGATGGCTGATGATTAGTATTACTGTAAGTACTAATAAAAATTCATTACTGTGATTGTTTTGTTGTTATTATTACTGTTAGCCTTTGCCCTTTGCATGGTTCATGGGTCTTTTGATTTTGGGAAGGATGGAACTAAATTATTAATCACTAGGTGGCTTTGGATGTAAGGTGATTCCTGGAGAGAGCCTGACGTCTCAACATAGGATTTTAGTATTAGATTTATGTTTTAAAGAGCAATACTAAGTTAGGGAGGATAGTGGGTGTTGTGGGACCTAAAAGGAGATAAACTAGAAATATTTAAGAATAGAATGGATAAAGAAGGTACTTGGGATTTGGAAGATGATGCTAATACTATGTGGAACTCAATGGCCAATTGTATGAGGAAAATATCAGGGGAAGTTCTTGGAGAGTCAAAAGTAAAGGAACCCAACTCTAGGGAAACTTGGTGGTGGAGGGAGGAGGTTCAAGCGGTAGTAAAGACGAAAAAAGAGTACTTTAAAAAGTGAAAGAATGATAGAACAGAAGAAATCTTAAGAGCTACTGATTGGCTAATAAGGAGGTCAAAAAAGTAGTGAGATAGACTTAAGTTGAAAGCCTATGATAACCTATACACTAGATTAGACAGTAAGAAAGGAGAGAAGAGGATATACGAACTTGCTAAGATAAAAGAGAGGAAAATAAGAGATTTTAATCAAGTAAAGTGCAACAAGAGTGATGACTAAGGTGTTGGTGAAAAATGAAGAGATTAAGGAGAGGTGGAAGAACTATTTTGAGAAGTTGTTAAATGAGGAACATGGAGGTAGGTCAAAAGGGGAGGAAGTAGGCAGTAATAAGGAAAATCAGGACTACAAGTTGTATCGCAAGATTAGGAATTTTGAAGTGGAGATTGCACTTGAGAAGATGAAATCGAATAAGGGTGTAGGACCCGATGATATCCCTATTGAAGCTTGGAAATGTTTGGGTAAGAAGGGGGTTACTTGGTTGACTAGGTTATTTAGCAAGATTTTGTAGACTAAGAAAATGCCAGAGGAGTGGAAGAAGAGTATTTTAATACCAATTTATTAGAATAAAGGAGATGCCCAGAACTGTAACAACTATAGTGGAATCAAACTAATGTGTCATATAATAAAAGTGTGGGACAGAGTGATGGAACGTCGATTGGGACATATAACAGAGGTGTTAGAGAATCAATTTGGGTTTATGCTTGGTGAGTCAACAATGGAAGCGATTTATCTTTTGAGGAGAGTTATAGAAAAGTATAGAAAAAAAAAAGAGACATTCATATGGTTTTTATCAATCTTGAGAACGCATATGATAGAGTGTATTGGGATACAATCTGGTGAGTGTTAGAGAAAAAAAGAGTGATAAAAGGTTACATTGATATGATTAAGGATATGTATGAATGTGTGGTGACCACTATTAGATCGTCTGCTGGAGAGACAAGTGAAATTACAATTATTGTAGGGTTACACCAAGGATTAACCTTAAATCCTTGTCTTTTTGCTTTAATTATGGATGAATTGACGAGAAATATTCAGGATGATGAGCCATGGTGTATGCTTTTTGCAGATAATGGATGAGACTGGAGAAGTCGTTAACACTAAGTTGGAGACTTAGAAAGAAACACTTGAATGCAAATGATTTAGGATAAGTAGAACTAAGACAGAGTACATGGAGTGTAATTTTAGTAACAATAACAATGAAAGCGAAGGAGAAGTGAAAATTGAGAATCAAGAACTACCTAAGAGTGAACATTTTCGTTATTGAGTATCGATTATCATAACGACTGGGGAGATTGGAGCAGATGTGGTACATAAAATTAAGGCGGGGTGGCTTAAGTGGAGGGGTGAGTCTGGGGTATTGTGTGATAAATGAGTGCCGACTAGACTAAAAGGAAAGTTCCATAGAACGGCTATTAGACCAACGATGTTGTGTGGGACGGAATGTTAGACAACTAAGAAACAATATGTAGATAAGATGAGTGTTACTGAGATGAAGATGTTAAGGTGGATGTGTGGAAAGACTAGAAAAGACAGAGTTGGGAATGAGTATATTCGAGAATTGGTAAGAGTAGTACCGATAAAAGATAAGTTGAGAGAGAATAGATTGAGATGGTTTGGTCATATACAACGGAGATCAACAGAGGCAGTAGGGAAGAGATGCGATACATTGATGTTAGATGGAAGTGTTAGGGAAAGGGGCAGACTTAGATTGATGTGGGCTATTGTAGTAAATAGAGATATAAATCTCCTTAATTTGACTAACGAAATGGCCTTGGATGGAGTTGAGTGGAGAAGAAGGATTCATGTAACCGACCCAATTTGATGGGACTTAAAAGCTTGATTTGGTTTGGTTTAGGTGGCTTTAGATGTCAATGAAAAATGAAATTTTGTTTGTTACTTTATGTTTGAAGGGCAAAGTATGAAGTGTTTCAAAAACCAAACTGAATTTTATGGTTTTATGGGTAAAGTGGTGAAATCGTCTCTGGGCTCTGTTACTTTAGTTGCAAAGTTGAGTTTTTGGAAATATGTTATTTGATTGGTTAGGTTTGGTTGGTTTGAAATGGGTTTACTTCATCACTGTAAAAGAAGAAAAGAGAGAGGGGGGTGGGGGATTCACATCAGGGAATCTGTCTTCATATCCTTTTGTGATCTGGGATTCTTGAGTTGGATCAATCATTCACTTTCCACTAAAAACTAGATAATAAAATTGAGAATTGGTAGAATCTATTTGATGAGTTCATTTTCATCCATGACAACAAGTATGGAATGCTCCAGCTGTGTTGGTGTGGTAGTTTGGGTCATTGGCTAGGTAGCCTCGTCTCACTCATGGACCCTATGAACTAAAAAGTGCCAGGTGCCATTTTTTCTTTTTCTCTGCTTTTGCCCTCATAGGAGTGAACCATTGTTATGAATGATCCATATTTTTTAGAGAAGAATCCAAATTTGGGTATGCATGTTAGATTTGGGTTTATGTCAAGGTGCTAGATTCATCTATTCCCAAAATCTGAGGACACAGGAACGCGGCCAAATACTTTATTGGCATAAGGTAAAATGAAGTTTCTACACAATTTCTTCTTTGACATAGAATACTTGCACCCTTATTTTAAAATATCCACTTAATGAAAGGATTCAATTGAGGGTATCTTATGGAACTTTTAGTGAAGTAGATGTATGTTTTCTTTATTTCTTTGTTGGCAGTCTAGCTGGAGAAACATCCATTGTAGAAGTGTTCGACATTTGCTCATACCATAGCCTACAGAGTGGGGTCCAGTGTTAATAAGTTGTTGCAATATATATCAGAAAGTTAATATTAAGGAAAGCAAATATCTTGGAATGGAAGTGGTGAAATCACATGGTGATGAAGCAATAGCATTTAGCATAATTCCATGATTCCCACACATATTTTTGATCTACTAGTAAAACTAGCAAATAACGAACCTAAAATCACTTAGGCTGAGACCATGATTCCTGAGAGGTATAGTCACCTACAATTGAATCTGTTCCAACAGAAAGCATCTAATCAAACAAGAAAAAAGTGCACATAGATGCATGTATGTTGCACAACTTATACCTCATGACAATAGGAACTCTGGGAATCCATCAATTCCCATGGAATCCATTTTGTGCTAATTGAGATGACTGTGCATGTGACAGCCCCATTGTAAAGATTATTTATCTAAAACACAAAATTGCTGCATTTCACTGATGTTTTTGACAAATAGTTCAGAGACCAGGGATTATCCATTTATTGTTTTGGCACGTGAAGTGTAACCAAAATTTTTTGTACCTTATTTATTATAGCTAGTTTTAAATAATAACATTATTGACACGTCCCTATGAAGCTCACTTGAGAGAGGCGAGGCACAATGATGTTTCAAGTCTTTTGTTGCCTTTTACCACTATTAGAACATCAAATTTTGAGCACTTCTGTTACTGTTCCATATGTTAGCCTCTTTATTGGGTAAATGAGTTTTATTTTCTTGAGTATTTAGTGATTTTTGGGGGATTTTTATTGTTGTTTTGTATCAGTTGGACCATGCTTTGCCATTGGTTGACTCTTGCTGCTGAAAACCTGCATATTGTAGTATGGGTTTTATGAATTTTTTTTTCTTTAACGTGTTTGCTGAACTCTATAGGGCTGCAATCATCTGAGGGGAAGAAAAGCCGGTTCCTCTCTCTATCTTGATGTAAATATTGAGGTAGGGCATCTGATTAGTCTGCTGTTATTTGTTGTATGTAGTACAACCTGTCTTCTGATTCCTTACATACATTCATGTTAGTTTCTTGGACAATGGACACCACACACCTTTCAGATCCTCAAATACACACAGCAGTTACTTTTCCTTGCAGGTAGATCCTTTCTCAAGTGTTAGTGCGGCTCATGAAGTTGGTGAGAATGTTCATCATGTAATTCAGAAGTTACACCCTGAAGTAGCTGAAGTCTTCATACACATAGGTAATCTACTTTGTTTTGTTACTTTTTCCATTGATTCTTAGGGTATATTGAAGTTTCAGTTTCAAAGCTATCCTGAGTTTGGTTAAATAGATGGACAAGTGTAAGGTTCCCCTGCTCATAGTTTGTTAACAAAATGGTAACTTGGGACTTCTCTAAATCATTTAATCTGTTACAGTTCTAAACGGTTTTTCATGCCGCAGATCTGACCAGGACAGTAATTCATGTGGTCTGATTGGGTTGAAGATGTAATCAAGCCCAATCCTAAGTTATAATGACTCCCTTGAAGCAAGTTAAATTATTATCAAACTCAACCTAGATTCTTAATCTTTTATTAGAGCCGGCTGCTAATTACTTTGGGAGGGTGGTAGGATAGTTTGCAAGCCAAGACTTAATTGAAGGTTGTTTGCAAACCTTGCATTTAGATTATGTGGGTTTTGTGCTTTATAGCAAACCCTCCATTCACATATGCTCTCCTTCAAGGTACATCTTCAGTCTCTGCGCCTTCTTTCGTCAGTTATAAACTATAGGGCCGATCAATAGACTCATGTTTTGGGTTACTAACGAGTTAAAATAACTGTAAGTTGAAGTATAATTTGGATGGGATAGCTCTTGATCTCTAATTTTTTGGCTGAAGCCACCATTGGATTAGGAACTCTTTAATGCATGTCAAATATGAAGTATATTCGAGGATGACTACTGTCCTATCTATCACACTTCTGGTGAATATTTTATTTCAAGTTTTTTCAATAGCACAATGTTCAAGACCAAAAAATAAATAAATAGCACAATGTTAGTAACTGGGCTTGCAATTCATGTCAATTTTGATATTCGGTATGTACAAGACAACCTGTTATGGTTTTGAAATTTAACATTGGACTTGGAAAAATTTATTTTCCTGCCAAAAGAAATTGAGGGTTACAAGAGCAACAGCTCTTACAAGGTGCTAGTTGATCCAAAACTGCTTCATCTTATTATATTTTATGTTGTTATTGGTTGTTATTATTCTGTCAAGAGGTGCTTCAATAACCATCAAATTTCATCATTCTATTTTTAATTTAATAATCCATTAATGTCGATGATGTCATAGCACCTCCTTGTTTTAATTGCCCTTGTAGATCCTGCAATTTCACTTTTCTCGGCTGATACAAAGGACCAACAAGGGAATATGATGGAAACAGATTGGAGGAATAGGAATCTTTCATCAGAGCACAAGGATATTGAAGATATCGTTTCCAATATATTATCATCAAAATTCTCAGAGGTACTTTTTTTCTTTTCTGAACTGATTTTTTTAGTGTATTCTCAAGCCATCTCGTGTTATATGTTATGTTTTACAAATTCCAGAAAATGGTTCTTGAGCGCATAACTCACCACTTGTTTCCGGACAAGATTTTACTTCAAGTTGAAGTCTCTATGCCCCCTGACATTTTAATTCGGTAAGACTCCATGATCTTGTTTTTCATAATCTATTCACATTATTCCAGAGTATTCTATAACAGTATATATATATATATATGTATTCATCGTTTTCATTTTACAGAGATGCAATAAAGGTAGCGGAAGAAGCAGAAAGAGAGATTTCAAAGGCAGCCCCTGATGCTGTCGTGGTCTGTATTCAACTGCGACTAGGGCGTACAATCCCACAGTTAACATGATTAATTTTGTGACTTAAAAAGCCAGGTATCTGCATTTATGTACTATTGATATTGCTTTCTAGTTACAGAAGAGTACAGAGTTTTTGTGAGAAATATTCGTTGGCTAAAGGTGGGAATATAGTATATAAATTCAAACACCATTATACAATTAGAATTGCAATCATAATATACACTAGCCTTGTATGGCATGTTGGATTCTTGCCATACATTTTTTTTGGGTGGATAATTTTTTGCCCTACATAATTGTGATATACTTGAAGAATAAGAGAAACTGTTCCATTTGGTTTTTCGCTTATATGATTTTCTTTGGAGTCTGGTTCTTCTATGATTAGTTTGTACAGAAGATTATATTTGATGTGTCACTCTTGCTAGTTGAAAAAGAACTCTTGACTTGGCATGAAGCCGCGAAGGTTGAAAAATTATTTCATACCACACATCTTAGTTATTGATTCATACGAGTCTCACATAAGACCTACACAGATTAATGTTGGTAGTAAATAATTGCTTGTGAATTCGAGTAAAAAATCATCTTCTCCAGGAGTTTTTTTGTGTATATTATTTTACCTTAGTTATTTTCAAATATGTGAGTTGTTTTGAATTTATTTTTCAAATCTAAGTTATTCTTTAAAATTGTTTTCAAAACACGATTTCAAATTCGAAAATGTTGGCTTTTTTGACGTTCGAAGGTTTGTATTGTAATTTTAAGCGTGCCAGCAAGGATCAATCAGTCTTTACAGAAGATTAGTTGCCAACCAATTATCAGACGATTGTGTTTTAGTTCTTTCAGCATCAATGAAAAAGACTTTTACTGGTGGCTTGTTTAGGAGAATTTGGTAAACAATAATTAAATGAAAAACAATTGCAGCATTTCATTGAATAAAAATGAAAAACTGACAATGATTTGATCCACTCTCGTAAAGGTTTATAGCAACAAGATATTTGAAATTACTCCTATGAATAAAATGCAATACAAGAATTTGAAGTACAGAAATATAAAGAACAAGAAATGTAAAAATTGGAAGGAAAATAAAGTAGATAAAAATTGATTTCTAGATCTGAGTCTGGGTCCCTCTTCCTGGGGCCTTCTCTGCTATTTATACTTCTCAATGATAACTGTCGAAATGAGCTTCTAACCGTCGAAGCATCCCTCCATGATCGCTGATCATGCTTCCTCATAGTTAACTCCACTACGCTATGTCTGCAGTTAGGCTTCCCTCCTAATTTTGAATTTGAACCTTGTGAGTAACCGTTGGGCCACATTACTTTATATCCCTTGATCATTCTAGTGTTATGCAGACCCATTATTGCCAGTATGGGTTGACACATGTCTGACTATGGTTGGTGATTTATATTGTTTTCCCAAATTACCCTTCTCATGCCACGTGTTGAATCGTGATTGGCTTTTACAATTTATACAGCCAGCATTACCCCCCGCACTAATATACCCAATATTTTGTGATATTAGAGGATCAAACACTTCACCCATGTTCTAGGACGTGCATGGATTTCACATCTTCTTAGAACTGCAACCGCCTGCATTAAATTCTTTTCCACACCTTGAACATTTCCCATTATCTGAGCATTCGAAAAGACTGATACAGCTCGCATGGCCAAACAAACTTTCTTTGGTAGAGATCGAGCATACGAGGAGTTGCTAGATAATAATATTTTCCCTCGAAAGAATTTTCATGCATTTATTAGCCACTCCTATCTACCTTTCTATATTCAAGTCATGGAAGCTTTTGCAAACTATCGACCTTTGGATTATGAACCTACTGTTCATAATTCTCTAGCCTAAAACTTCGCAAACATGGATATTGGAAGCTCTTTTTCTGACCCAAAACCTTCTGCGTGGGATGAGGTTGCAACTTCTTCTTCTTCTTCTAAGACTTCTGGCTGGGGAGGTTGGCCAGAACCTAGGGGTGCAACTCGGGCGGGTTCGGTCGGGTTGGGGTTTGCCCAAGCCCAGCCCAAATTGTGTTTAGCAGTGCCCAAGCCCGCCTAAGCCCGACCATCAACCCGAGCATAGTTGCCCAAGCCCGGACCAAGCTTTATCATTTGAACTCGGGTTAGCCTGAATTGCCCGAAATTCACAAATAGCTTATGAATGCTTCATTATATATATACACAAGTCCATTCACATCTAGTGCATAAAAAACTGGTACATATAAAACACTAGTACATATAAATGCTAGACATGCTAGAAATGGTAGCCCAGCCACAAACTTCAACAGATTTGAAAGTTTCTTCAATTGCAATTAATTAACAAACAATGGTTTATTATTCCATATAACAAACAGTGCTTCATTATTCCATACATAAGGTAGGGTTTTCTTTTTAAATTTAATCTAATGGTCCAAATAAAAGATGCTAATCCAAGGGTGAAAGACCAGCCAAAAAATAAATAAATAATTAAGGACATCTATTTAATTTAATTTATACATATATTATATAATTTATATAATATATTAAATACAATTCGGGTTCGGGTTGCTCGGGTTAGCCACTGATTCTGCCCAGGCCTGACCCAAATTACAATTCGGGCATCAAAAATCTGTCCAGGCCCGTCCAAATTACAAGATATTGTTGCCCAAGCCCTAAAAAAACTCGGGCTGGGCACGGGTTGCTCGGGTTGAGCCCGCCCGAGTTGCACCCCTACCAGAACCTAAGAAATCCAAGCTGAGGGAGCGCATTACTCATCGCTTCGTCAAATTTGCTGATTTTCTATCTTTCCCTCCTTTCGTTCGGAGCTCGGTGGTTTACCCATATGTATCCATCGATCGCCGAAGCAGTCTGGAAGACAACTTGCTCATAGCATGGTACACGTCCTCCATGCCTACGAAGATTGTGCAAGCTCCTCGTCACCCAGAGGAAGTACAAGGGTACAACCCATCATTCTTAGCCCAGAGGGCAAAATTTTGCTCTTCTAACTGGCTTGACTGCGTAAACAATCCCCAGTTCCCTCCTTCTTTTGAGATGGATCTTCCTGTACCTTATCTTTCGCAAAATCCTCATTGGGTAGAAGAACTGAGACTTACTCACTTTGAGAATCAGCTTCTTCCTTCCTATCAACCTCCAACTTCCCCCACTATTTTTGAGCGGCATCAAGCTCAGCTTCTACTTGCGGCCTTTTCTCACTTGCCCTTTAATATTCTTGAGGGTGATGTTCCTCTTAAGAACCTTCGATGGGCTTGTGGCATTATGACTCGAAGTCATGTCCTTAATCCTATTGCTCAAGCAGAGCTTCAGATGTTTTTGGATCAACTCCTACTTCTTCTTCATTAGCACCAAACTTCTGTGGCCACCACTCAATCTTTGGACAACATCTCAGCCCGTCGAATTCACACCCAGTATGAAGCAGAGAACCTTATCGATAAATATAATGACTTCAAGAACAAAGACTCTGCATACTGCGATGACTTGGATATGGACGAGATAGAACAAAGACTGAAGGAAACAAAGTTCGAAATAAAAGCTGAACAACTTTTTCATCAAATAAGAGCATATCAGCTTCAGCAGCCTAGCTTGGAGAAGATAGAAGACAGAATAAAAAAGGAATAGAAATTCGTTAACCACTGTTGGAACAAGTTCCATGACCTTGCCATTTTCTCTATTCCTTATTTTTATGAAATTGAATATGTAGCCAAAAAGGCCTTCTGATGTAATTAATTTCATCTTAATAAAGCTAGGCTTTCCTTTATTTATTCGGCATGGTCTGATTTCATTCTGTTTATCCAAAATGAACAAAATCAAAGTTTCGAATTTACCAATTTTGTCCTTCGTAACTTGATTTAAACATATTCAATGGAATACTAGAGACCTAATTTGAACTTCTCCAGCATATGGAGTGTAATTGACAATTTTCCCAATCATATGGTTAATACACTCAACAGTTTCGAATCAACTATTTTTGCTTCGAACAAACAGTCTACATTTTCCGACGTATGGAAACTTCCTTTAAGGACTGCACTGTTTCATTCTAAAAGAGTGATTCCTTTTATATACTACTAAACCAACTATTGGTTTTACGTCACTTCAAAGCCTATAATAAACAAATTCTAACCGTAAGATATTTTAAACTTTGCTTCGAAGGATTTTACTTTCACTAAGAGACCTAAAAACAGGTCTTTAATCCTTTCGAAATAAACAAATACCTGGGCACTCCTGCACTCATAGGTGTGAAATGTGCTTCGAAGTCAACTTCCTGCTTTCGAAGCTGTTTGTAACTTGATTTTGGCGCCAAAGCTTAACTTCGAAGCCAAACATTTGATTTCGAAGCCAATATTAGTATTTAAGATACGTTTCTCTCCCAAATTATCAATATTGAGAGAAACCTTTCGCATCCGTACCTTTAGCACTTCTTACGAATTCAACCCACTTAAAACGATTGGGTATTTTCTTAGACAGAAAGGTTTAAAAACCCTTTTATTTCGTGCTGTTAATTCACTTGTTTGCCTAACACAAACCCTTCGTCTCTATTGACTTTCTCTTTCCTCTGGCCTAGGCCAAGTTCTCCTTCTGTTTCACTGTCACTTTCCATCAAAGTTTTTTCAAGACCTGCCAAGCTAGATCTTTCTTTGGTTTTCAGTTCAGAGTGAACTTTAGCCAACTGCTCTTTGCTGAAACTTCTTATATTTTGAGGAGTCGATTTTGGACTATGGTCCAATTTTGGATTTTCTCTTTCTTCTGTCTAGGCTTTTGGCTGGGCCAATGAAGAACTTTCCCCACTTTCTTTCAGATCCTTTTGGTACTGAGTGTACTTTCGTTGGATCTTCCTTCTTTGGGACCTAGAAATTACTGGAACCATGTCTGGTTCCTTTGTTTATGGGTGCTTTAGTAACACCTTTGGAGCCACCAAGGGAGGTTTAACCATTCTACTCTGGTCCCCAACAACATTTCTCAGTGTAGGCATTTCTCTAGGCTTATTTTGCATTATAAACCAATCTGGAACCCTAAGTATCCATGAATTCACTAACTCAATTGCTGAACTAGCTCTTTCTGCCTTCG